ACCAGATTGAATACTTTCAATTTTCAACGGGAATAACCTATTTGAACTCATGTTTACAACTACAATAGCACCTCGATTAGGATCAATAATTTCACAAGAATCTTTGCTAATAAAAATTTCATAACTTTTTTCTTGTAATTGAGTAGCACTTAACAAGTTATTTTTCAAGTCAGGGACATAAAGCACATTAGAAATTATTTCTACAAAACCATTCTTGGTTTTTATTTTTATATCACTTTTTCCCATTACTTTCACAGTAGTAGCAATCACCAAAGCTCATAGTAGAATGAAAATTTTCATTTAAATATGAGAAAGAGGACTTACTTCCACTCATGTGATTACTACAACCAATATCTACATACCAAATTTCTACCTCTCTGTCTTTTACATCTTCAACTTCCATCAATAAGGTTTCTATTTCTTTCTCCTCGATAAAATTTGAACTTTCCCTCTTTTCTTTAAGATTAGGCAGTCTAGTATAACATTCAGAGGCATAATGACCAAATTTATGACATCTAAAGCATTGTACCTTTGATTTGTTATGACCTCTCCCTCTATCATTGTCTTGAAATTGGTCATTGTTGCCTTTAGAGTTCTTGTTGAAATCTCTATTTCCACGACCTCTCCCTCTACCTCTACCTCTACCCCTTCCTCTAGAGTTGTATGAAGGAGTATTGGTAGAAGTCTTCAATTCTCGTTCCTCTATTGTTAAACTTCTGTTCATCTTTTGTTCATGAGCCAACAAAGAACTTTGAAGCTCATCTAAGGAAAGATCATCAATATCATTTAACTCTTCAATAGAACACACCACATAATCAAACTTTGGTGGTAATGAGCGTAGGATTTTTTCAACAATTGCTATATCATTCATTTTTTCACCATGAAATTGCATATTGTTAACAATACCCATGGTCCTTGAACAATAGTCAGTTACAGGCTCACCTTCCTTCATTTGAAGGACTTCAAAGTCTCTTCTCAAAGCTTGAAGTTGAGCACGTTTAACTCTTGAGGAGCCTTGATATTTTTTTCATTGAATCCCAAATATCCTTGGAAGTATCTTTACAAAGAATAGTTTCAAGGATAGATCGATCAATGGCTTGAAACAAATAATTCTTGGCTTTCAAGTCTTTCAATTTCATCACATCAAGCTCTTTTTGTTGGGCATCTATAAGAGCTACACCATCCCCTAGTGTTGCCACACCATCTACAACAACCTGTTAGAGCTCCTTGGATCTCAAGAGATTCTCCATCAACATGCTCCAATGGTTGTAGTGACCATCAAAACGTGGAATGACTGGTTGTACAAAATTTTCAGAAGTCATTGGTGGGATAATTGTTCCCTTTTTTTTTTAACACTTTTAAACTACTATCTTTTTCTTAACCTAGCTTTTGATACCACTGATAAAAATTGAGAAAGGAGGATATGAAAATGTGGTTATTTTATTCAAAATAGTAGGATCCCTTTTAAAGGTAACAATTACATAATCATATTAAATTTATTATAAAGAGAAATAATTCAAAAGTTGTAACTGTCATTGCAAAAAAGCAATGCACTTATTAACCAATTAAACAAAGTTACAAAACATAAAATATCAATAAATTTTCGGAGCAAGGCAGCGTGTAGAGGCTTTGAGATTATGCATGTCGTATGCAAATAAATGAATGTTTCTATTTCAATTTTAATTATAAGTAAATATTCTTTTCTTATTTATTTTGTAAAAAAAAATAATTATCTTATTATCATGATTTGGAGTTGTGTGAGACACCAACTTGTACTTCCTTTTAAATTGTTTCATACAATATTAATTTATTTTGGTTTTATCAAGATAATTTTGTACAATAGTGGTTGACATTTGGCACAATTTTTATCCTTATAAAGAGAGTAAAGTCCGAGCCTTTCACATTAATTTGAATGTTGAATAAAAAAGACAAAAATGTATTAACATGTGATTAATTTATAAAGAAAGAAAAAGAAAAGAAAAAATGGAAAAAGAAGGGGACAAAATTGGGCATTTACAGATAGTGATCATGAATCTCTTAAGTATTTGTGAGGGCAAGGAAATCGTAAGAAGAGACATGTTAAATGGGTGGAATTTCTTGAACAATTTCCTTATGTTATCAAATACAAGAAGGGTAAACCAAATGTGGTTATGGATGCCTTATCTAGGAGGCACATATTACTTTCAACCCTTAAGGCTCAAATTCTTGGATTTGATGACATAAAGGAATTGTATGAGTGAGACCCCTTTTCTAAAATTATTTTTGAAGCCTGTGGTAATAAAGCTAAGGATGGGTTCTATCTTTTTGAGGGGTACTTGTTTAAGGAAGGAAAACTTTGCATACCCTAAGGATCTATTCAAAAGATTTAAACAAAAGAGAGCCATGAAAGTGGGCTCACGAGGCATTTTGGAGTTAATAAGACCTTAACCATTTTTAAAGAAAGATTCATTTGGCCCTATATGAGAAAAGATGTCCAAAGATTTTGTTCTAGATGTATAACTTGTTTACAAGCAAAGTCTAAAGTAATGTATCATGAACTATACACACCTTTACCTATTTTAGATTCCCCTTGGGTAAACATTAGCATGAACTTTGTCATAGATCTCCATAGAACCCAAAGGGGAATAGATTCCATCTTTGTGGTAGTGAGTCATTTTAGCAAAATAGCCCATTTCATACCTGCCACAAAGTGGATGATGCAAATAACATCTCAAGACTTTTCTTCAAAAAGGTTGTTAGGTTGCATGGTTTACCTAAGACAATAGTGTCAGATAGAGATACTAAGTTTCTTAGCCATTTCTGGAGATCTCTTTGGGGAAGGCTAGGAACTAAACTTGTTTTCTCTACTACTTGTCACCCATGGACCGATGAACAAACAGAAGTAGTAAACAAATCTCTATCCACTATGTTAAGGGTAATTCTTAAAGGAAATTGAAAGTTTTGGGATGAGTATTTACCTCGCATTGAGTTTGCATATAATAAAGTGGTTCATAAAACTACCAATTAGTCTCCTTTTGAGGTTGTGTATGGTTTAATTCTCTTACACCAATGGATTTAACACCTCTCTTGATACTACTTCTTTCTGACATAAAAATGGAGTATCTAGGGTAGATTTTGTTAAGAAGTTACATGAGAGGGTTAAACACCAAATAGGACAACAAATGGAGAAATATGTAAAATATAATAATAAAAGAAAAAATGCAATCTTTCAAGAAGGGGATTGAGTTTGACTTCATTTAAGAAAATATAGATTTCCAAATCAAAGGAATTCCAAACTCAACCCTAAAGGAGATGGTCCCTTTCAAGTCCTTAAAAGGATTAACAACCATGCATACAAGTTAGATCTTCCTAATGAATATGGAATAAGCACTACATTTAATGTTTGTGATCTAACTCTTTTTGCAAGTGATGTTGAGGAAGAGTCTACAAATTTGAGAACAAATCCTATTGAAGAGGGACAAGATGATGACATAATGTCTACCATTGGACGTATCACAAGGGCCATTCAAGGAGGATACAAGAAGAATGGGCTTGTGATGAAGTTAGAAGGTTCAAGCTTTTATTGGGTTGTAGGCTTGTTTCTTAACCTTTTTCTCTCTTATAGTATTTTTTCCTGTATATATTTTTACTATTTTTTTGGACCTTGCATTTTGGTCATGTAGTGTAGGTATTGTTGTCCTTGTATTGTTTTTAATTTGAGAGTGTAAATAGTAGTTTAAGTGGGGTTTAACTAGAAATTCCATGGGTTGATATTGGGCTTGGTTGGGTTGGTTTGGGCATTTGTGGCCCATGGCTTGGACATCCAAGACATGTGCTCTCCATATGTTCACCTGTATCGCCAAGCATCCAATATGACACATGGCCTTGTCTAGTCACACTAAACACATGTGTCACATGGTAAGCTCCTAATGACTCTTCTAGATCTATGATGATGACATGAGTCACACTTTTCTTCCTTGTCCACATGACAAGCTCTCATTGGTCATCCAAGATCTAAGATAGTAACACTTGGAGCTTGACTTGGCTGAATGGTTAGCTAAGTTTCATACTATAATATATTTTTATATAAAATTATTCTTAATTGTTGCTAATCTTTTGAAAAAAAAATGATTGAAATAATTATGTAAATGATATATATATTTAAAGAGTAATAAGTTAAAAATAATAAAATAAAAATGAAAAAGATAAATCGTTAAAATATCAAAATAAATATGATATGTTGAAAAATAGTAAATAGTTAAAAGATAATATTTAGATTTTAAAGATAAAATGTGTATTTCAATATGGAATTTTGATTCTTAGCGGAAAATAGATTATACGTTTGAAATGAAGAAAATATAAGAGAAACGTGCCGGGAAAAAATATTTAAATAAAAATAAACTTAGGAGAGGGTGAAAAAAAGTAAAACATCTCCGTAATAGAATTATTCTAGTTACGTATATAAGTGATTTTATATGCAGTAAATGCTGTTTCCTTCCCATTTTTATATATAAAATAATTAATATTTTAATATATTTAATTCATATGATAAATATTTATTTTAGTTAATTAAACTTTATAATAAGAAAATATTTTAAATATATTTAACCATATAACTATATTTTTACAGAGAATTTAGTGATAAAAAACAATTAAAGTAAGAGGTTGTAACATAGAAATGGAATGATTAATAATTTAGTAATTATTAATAATATCAATAAACTGAAAAAGGAGAAAATAGAGAAAAGATTTTTTTTTATAATATATAAAAGCGATAACTTGATTATATATATATATATATTATAAATAATTTTATTTTTAGTTTTTAAATAATATTAAAAATAATTATCTTTAAAGATATCAGATTAAAATTTAAAATCTTAAAATTTAAAGTTAAATACAATATTAATTAATTTTATAAATATTTATAATTTTTTTAAATATTTTTATTAAATAAAATATAAAAAATACAAAATTTTTGGATCTCATAATATATACTTTTTATTATGAGTAACTATGCTCCAGCCAAAATTTTGAGAAAGCAAATTGGCCATTGCGTATTCCATAAAGACGTTCCATTACTCGGAAGAGTGGAGTATGAAGGTGTGTTAGTCGGTGAATGATTCCTCATATTCTTGAATTCAATCTTCATCTTCATCGGAACCCTAATCCCCTCCCAACCGGAATCAATGGAGGGAGTGTTGTCGCCGAACGAGCAACAGAGCATGGTCTCTTCCTTCCTCGAGGTCGCTCAGGGCCAAACCGCCGAGACTGCGCGCCAGTTCCTCCAGGTTTACCCTCAATTTTCAATCTCATACATCATGTGTAATTTCCCTTGTCAACAGATCTAGGAAATTCCAATAATGTTAATGTTGTTGTTGTTGTTGTTGTTGTAACAGGCTACAAGTTGGAAACTTGAGGAGGCGCTTCAGCTGTTTCTCATAGGTAGTGAAAGTGGATCAGTGCCACCTCCATCGTTGCACACTCCACCTTTGGAGAATGTTGATTCATGGAATGATCAACCTGCAAGGTAGTACTTTTGACTCTTTAGTGGGTGATTTTTTGTGGGTTGGTTTTTTAGCTTGCAATTGTTGTTTTTTTAGTGAACCGAGCAGGGAAGCTGCAAGTGAAAGTAATATTGCCCACAATGATGGCGATGAAGTGCGTCCTCCTTTGCCTGTAATAAGGGAAACTCTCTATGACGATGCAATGCTGTATGGGTATGTTTTCCTTTTCCGAGTTTCTTTCTTTGCTTTGTCAGAGATGCATGTTATTTGGTGTTCTTGTCATTCTTTGGGTTGTGTGTGTGTGTTTGTATAATAAGCAAGTCATTGCTCTTCTTTTGTCTCTGTGTGTGCCTTTGTGAACTGTGAAACGAGGTTAGGTGAAAGAAAAATCAATTATTGTGGCTAGGTAGCAGTCTTGTTATCCATTTATAATTGGAAGGGTTCAACACTGTTCTAGTGGTGTGTACTTTTGCTAACAACTCACTAAGAACATCTCTCGCGCTGGTTCCTTAACGGTTTGTTATTTTAAGATACGATTGTGTAACGTTTTTTTACCATTGGAGGAGATCTACGTGTCAAGCTGGGTTCCTTAAAATTAAGCTCCTTTGCTCATATGAGTAACGGTTGCTTATGATTAAAAATATAGTAATATACTCTCTTTCTTCAACCAACAACCAGAAATAACTAAAGCAGAGGGGAAGAAAAACACCCGTAATATTGTACACCAGAGAAAAAAAATTCATACCAGAAGAACCAACAGAATACAAGAAAGAGGTGAACAAAATAATCAGAAGCACCCATAAAAATACAAAAGAGAACCAGTAAAATACAATACAACATAAAACTAGTAGAATGAATTCAAAAAATCATCCAGTGGTTGTGGTCACTGCATTGCGCCTGGCTTTCTATTGCATTGATGGCCTCTGGTTGGTGGTGGTTAGGGGAAGCTCCGACCCAGAGAAAAGGAGGGTTTGAATCAAAGAAAGGGTGTGAGGCAGTGAAAGGACTTGAGAGATCTGGGTGTTGGAGGCAGTTGAAAAATTTGGGAAGATGAGATTGGGGGCAGGTTGAAATATTGAGGGAAGTGGAAACCTAATGAGAGTCTTTCAAATAATTGAATTAATATTTTAATTGAAATAAAATTAGATGTAATGGAATGGATTTTATAGGGTTAATTTTGTCTCTAGTTCCTGAAGAATTTTCAGATTTGTTTTTGTCCCTAACATTCACAACCAACAGCTCTTGTCCTTGTATTTTTGAAAATAGACAAACATTAGTCCCTAAATCTCATACTTTTCGCCTACAGGGACTAAAGTTTGGGTATTTAAAAAATATAGGACTAAAACCAAAATTTGAAGATTTTACAGGGACTATTATGTACATTATCTGAACTATTAGATTGTCTTGCATTTTGCACTGAAGTATGTTACAACTTTGATCCTTGATCTCATCACCATAGCTATCTTTCAGAAATTAAATTACATAAATATCTGTGTATTTTTGTCAGAATACAATTAATGCTGTTGTACTACTTGCCTTATCTCTAGGGAATGTTTTTCCCTAATCTAGATAGGCTCATTGAATATTACTACCTCAATCCAAATAATTAATTTATCAAGATTAAGAAAAATAGTTAATCTAGTTGATAACAATTAATTTGTTTTATTTTTAATTTTTTTTTTTCAAAATTACCCTTATACTACTTTTCTCTCTTAATTAATACTCATCTCTCTCTTAATCAATTAGAGTGCATGTCATATACTACTTCCCTCTCATAAGTAATACTAGTTCTTCTAACCAATTAAAATACATGCCTTTTAAAGAGTCTATAATTAATGAATTCCATCAAATTAAGAGAACATTTTAGATAGGGCGTTTTAGTTTAAAAATAATTAATACATCAAACATTATGAATTGGGTCTTATATAAAAAAAACAAACTATTCTTGAGTTGAGTCTTATAAATAGGGACAGAGGTAGTATATGTTTACTTTGTTGTGCCATAATATTTATGTGACTTTTGCCAGTCAAACCATCCATTAATTCTGTGTTTTGTCATGTTTATGCAGAGCACCAAGGGTTGGACATCGTTCACAAGAACCGAGCTCCCTAGTTGCATTTCGTAACTTTGAAGAGGAAATGAGACATCCTGGGGTTTGGGAGTCAGAGCAAGGTGCTGCTTCTATAGCAGAGAGTTCTCGGGATAATCTTGCTTCACTTTATCGTCCTCCATTTCATCTTATGTTCAATGGTCCTTTTGATAAGGTAATTATGCTTTGTAGTTTGGATTTTATTGATTTTGATAAAGGTGGAGATGAGTGAACCCTAATTCTGGTAAAACATTTTCTTTTTAATTTTATTTTAAATATGAGCCTGCAAAGCCAAGCTCAACCTTGATTTTATGTTTTAAACTCATGGTTGATTATTGTTTCTAAATTTTATACTTTTCAAGTATTAAAATGTTGAACTAATTGGTACAATATTCACTCTATTTTCCTGATTTTTTTACATACCCTCTTTAACCAATCTTAGCACTTACAAATACATCTATTGCATTTTCAAAATGCTCTGCACTTAAATCCATTTAAGCATAATACTAGGAATGAATGGTACGCTGTTGTGACTAATGTTTGGGCTTTTTATGCAGGCGAAAGATGCCGCCTCTTTGCAGAACAAATGGCTGTTAGTGAACATACAATCTACCAAGGAATTCAGCTCACATATGGTATTATATTTTTGGTGCTCCTTTTACATTTTTCTTGGCATTAGCACTACTAATAATGTTTGCTTTGTGAAGCTTAACCGGGACACATGGGCCAATGAAGCTGTTTCTCAGACTATTAGTACTAACTGCATATTCTGGCAGGTCAGTTTCCTACTCTGCTGACTTGAACAATGGTGGTTAAATTATTTTGTATTTTAAAATTGTTATTAGCATGGTAGCTTATAATATTATACCCTAACCACTATAATTGCTCAATTTCTTGAAAAAGGTTTGTATATATTATTTTGATTGATAATACTCCTAATGGCACTGTAATGATTTAGGGTTATGCTTAGGTTTTTTCTTATTATAATTTTATGATAAAGAATAAATTAATTAAGATAAAAGAAAATAATTACAAAGTTTAGAGGATAATGATCTTTGGATTTCTAAGTAGGTTTAACACGAAGGAAAGTAACTCCATTCAGCAGATGAATTAGGAATTGAAAAAATGATTTACATGAAAACACCAAACAAGGATCCAGGTCCTGACCTTTTTATCTAAATAATTATTTAAATGAAGAGAGTCAAGGAATAGAGGCTCCTCTTCAGAAAATTACATATCATTTAAGTTACAAAAAAGTGGAAATTGGTTGAATAAGGATTATGTCTTTGTTACAATAAAATATGTTGTTTTCTAATTCAACTTATGTCAGAGGAGATGATATGCGCAATTCAATATTATTATCTGGCATGGCTAAGCTTTGTTTCCTATTCTATAGTGTAATTGCATAGTCTTTCAGAGAAGGGCCATCTAGTGCTAATATTAAGAATAGAATATTTAGATTTTGATTATGTTAGGAGTGTTATTGGGCTTGGTATGTATTGCTTGCCATAAGTTTTTTTATTTTTTATTTATTTTTATAAATAAGTAATAAGTTAATGTATTGTTTCATACATTTCATATCACAATCAACATTTTTTAGAGTCTCTTGTCTCCTATCCATTTTTCCCATTTATTTTCTTTTATTATGTGGGCTTGACCCAACATATGATGTGAGTGGCTTAACCCTGTGGTGTGACTCAAGAAGGAATTTTTCTGAGAATGTGTGGTGGAAGCAAAGGAGCTGGGGCAGGGTTGTATGAAATGGCTGTTCAGTAATTTTATTGGATGCAGGTTGGTGTGTTGAGTGGCTACTTGTAGTCTTCATTGATCATATTCATTGTGAATTCATTTCTGGTTATAACATTTTCAACAGCTAGGAAAAGAAAGGGGCAACAGAAAGGATCATTGTTACTTTCTTTATTGACCATTTGTTGGTCAAATGTATGTAGAAAAGGCTCTGATTTTGATGAATGGAAAAGCATGTTCCGTTTTTTTTATTTATAATTTTGCCATGACCATATCTTCTTTTGTGTTCCGGGGAGGAATTTTATCTTTGATAGTGGGATACTTCTCATTTGTGCCTCTCTATTCCACTACCTCCCACAAAATGCATATTCTCTTTCTCTCCTTCTATGATTACCGCTCCTATTGGCATATGTCCTTTCTGTTATTCCCTCCTTTCACATTTCTCTTTTCTCACATATACAGGCCTTGCTCCTTAGGCCCAATATTCACATTTTCCCTTCCTTCTACATTTCCTTCCTAACCCTCCTGCTGTAAACATGCACAATAGGCCTATAAAAATTGCATTGTATATTTGTTCTCTTGAATGTAATTAATTTTGGGATATGCGGGTGTGTGTATGTATATATACATATATCAATTATGCGAAGTGCTTAATTCACTAAAGCAATTTACCAAAATCTCGGTCTCTAATATGGTGTTAGAGTAGGTTCCATCTCACTGAGTTTCTCTTTGGTGACATTTCTGGCATCGTCCATTGTTGGCTTCCATTCAATCCAACGAGCCCATGATCTGGTGTGCCTCCGAGCAAGGCAGAATCCATTAAGTTTTGGAGGCTGAAGCCTTCTCATGTTCTTTTATGTGCACCACAACTTACGACCTTGTTAGGCACGTGAAATCGATGTGCCTCCCTTTGGCCCTCAATTTGACACCGTGCCACCTCCAATAGTATTGTTGCTCTTCTAGTCTTTATACCTTTATTTGGGTTTTGGGTTTTAATATCTTTGAACCATTTTGGATGTTAATCTCCTTGTTCCAGCAAAATCTCATCTATAGGTCCTTTCTTTTTTCCCCCCAATTCTATGGGGCTCCCCCTTCATGTGATATTGTGGCCCTTGGTCATGTGTAAAATGATTATCTGGAAAAAGGAATTTTCTGTGGGATCAATAGAGTTGTGCTTAGGTGGCACAAGCTTGATTTTCAGTTGTGTTGTGCTATCGAAATCTGTGGATCCATTTATATTTGAAACTCTCAAGACCTTCAAAACTTGTTCTTTTTGGGACGAACAAGGAATGTAAAATGTTTAAGTGTAGTGAAAATGTATAAAGTATTAATAATTTGATTTTTTGTATTACAAATTTATTTATTTATTTATATTGTTAATAGTGTTATATATACATATACATATATTATTTTTTATCATATCATAGATAAGTAGGTTGGCCTATTGAGCCTAACAGGCTTTTTATGAGCCTAAGTTCAATCTTTTTAAATAAATAGGTTTTTTTAAAAGCCTATGCCTGGCATTTCTATCAAGTAGGTTGAGCCAGGTCAGACTTTAAACAGTCCAGGTTATAGGCTCTTGTTTAAAGTCTGATCTATTCCCATTTCTAGTGGTAATTCACACCTTAGTAAAGGAGACCCTATAACTTAGCCAAACCCCTTTAGCCACTCATCCTCCCATGTCTATGGTGGTGCAGATTGAGGCTTAGATCCAAATGATGAGTGTTCCACCCCAAGCTTTTGCACATAGTTGGACCCTATCTTATCATTATGGTCCAAGGAAGATCCAAATTATGCTGATTACACGTAGAAGCCAAGGCTTTTTGGATTCACATGTTTATTGAGTTCCAAAATAACTCCTAATATCTATTCTGACAATCTCACCTTTGTTTTTGAATCTCCCATAACCTGCTTCTTCATTTCAAAACCAAGTATTTGGAGTTCAACTTCTATTGTATGATAAGTTATCAACAGAGTGTATCACATGATTCACATCCATAGTTATCAATAGCGATGGAGCAGAGCAGAGCAGCTTGGTGTTGCTACAAAAAACTTGATGTGGAGCAGCCGCAAAAGTGGTGGAGCAAGGCAGTGCAATCATGGGTTGGGCGGCTGGTTTCCCTTCTAAAATCTCCTATAGATCTATTTTTGCTGGTGGATCTCTGCATATTTGTCTTCTTCTTCAGTGGGTGTCGGATGTGTCTTCTTGAACGACGACAGATTTGTCTTCTCTGATGGATCTCCTGCAGATTTTTCTTCTTCTAAGATGGGAGGGAGGTGGTGGAGTGGCTAGTTGATGGCTCTTAGGGTTAAGGTAAACAAATTAGAGTTGGAAAAGTTGGGCCAATGGGCCCAAATTTATTTATTCTCTTTTGGTTTGCTTTGATGGGCCTAATTTATGTAAAGTTTATTTTTACTTTTCTATTTTTTTTAAATAGTAACTTCTCTTTATTTTTAATTATTATAATTCAGATAATTTAAGTAAGAAAAAAATTAATATAAAGCCTTAACCATTTTGTTTTCTTATTTTTTTATTTTGTTTATATACTATAAATTCTTATTATTGAAAATAGTTAATGTATTAATGAGTTATTTTTCTATTTTTATACATATATTATTAATTATTTATTATAAATTATTTTATATATATACATGTGTGTGCGTGTGTAAATTAGAATAGCAGTTATCCTGCCATCCGTTATACCGCAATCTCACATTTGGAGTTGGCCACTTTGCTATCCGGGATTAATAATTATGATCACCTCACTGTGCAGAACCACTTGGTTGACATCGTAACAATGCTTTCTTGCTCAGTTTTTATGATCTTCAAGACAAGCACAGGGTTTAGGGTTAGTACTCATCACTCCATCAATTGATTTTGAGTGGGGAATAGAGTAACTTATACTCTGTGCTAGGCTTATGTCAGATTAAATTCCTTAGTGTCTAGATACAGGCTACAACTTATGTGTATAGCTTGTCAGAGTTAGTTAGTTAGTTTTTGTATTCTGCTAACTGTTTCTGTTAGTTTGATGGACAGTTAGTAGCAGCCATTGTTTAGTTGTTAGTTTGGATTCTAGCCATCAAGTTAGTTGGGAAAATTTTAGAGTAACTGTTCCAGTATTGGAGATCACCGCCGAAGAACCCTTAGCGATACCGAGCTAAAAGAACTTGACAGCAATCTTGACCTAGAACATTTGATAAGTGTAACCTACTTTCTTAGACCTAATCATTGCTATATATAATGGTGTAGCGTTACAGACATGAATCACACACTCCTCTTTATGATCTCATAAATCACGTCCCATTGTGGACTCGTAACTCCCGGTATTTATTACCGTTCCCACAGATTGTGGGATCTTATTGATTGTTTGAGTGAGCTAGTGAATCTTCCCATATTTGGGTCCCTATTATGGGCTCGGCATTTTGTCGATGTGCCTCGGGTCGGCCAATGGGAGACCACCACGGTACATAGCCCTCCATGCTCAAGCACTAAAGTGCGAAGAGCATGTTGGGTCGGTATTGCGTAGGTTCGGTTTGATCGGTTTTTGGGGGACCTCCATGGTGCATTTTGTCGATGTGCCTCGGGTCGGCCAATGGGAGACCACCACGGTACATAGCCCTCCATGCTCAAGCACTAAAGTGCGAAGAGCATGTTGGGTCGGTATTGCGTAGGTTCGGTTTGATCGGTTTTTGGGGGACCTCCATGGTGCATTTTGTCGATGTGCCTCGGGTCGGCCAATGGGAGACCACCACGGTACATAGCCCTCCATGCTCAAGCACTAAAGTGCGAAGAGCATGTTGGGTCGGTATTGCGTAGGTTCGGTTTGATCGGTTTTTGGGGGACCTCCATGGTGCATTTTGTCGATGTGCCTCGGGTCGGCCAATGGGAGACCACCACGGTACATAGCCCTCCATGCTCAAGCACTAAAGTGCGAAGAGCATGTTGGGTCAACATTTTGCCGACCTGCTTTGGTCGGTCTGTGGAAGACCTTCATGGTACATAGCCCTCCATGCTCGAGCACTAAGGTGTGAAGAGCATGTCACGTAGGCATTTTGTTGACCTACTTTGGGTCGCAACTTGGGGCGCACCGTTTGACTTGATTTATGTTGATCGTCTAAATTCCGATCTTAAAGTGCTCTTCACACTAAGGTCTTGATCGTCTAAATTCCGACCTTAAAGTGCTCTTCACACTAAGGTTTGGGTCTTCTAAATTCTAACCTTAAAGTGCTATTCACACCAAGGTTTGGATCGTCTAAATGCCGATCTTAAAGTGCTCGTTGCACCAAGGTCTTGATCGTCTAAATCCCGACCTTAAAGCGCTCTTCACACTAAGGTTTGGGTTGTATAAATTTCGACCTTAAGGTGCTTTTCGCACCAAGGTTTGGATCGTCAAAATTTCCGACCTTAAAGTGCTCTTCACACCAAGGTCTTGATCATCTAAATTCCGATCTTAAAGTGCTCTTTACACCAAGGTCTTGATTGTCTAAATCCCGACCTTAAAGTGCTCGTCACACTAAGGTTTGATCGTCTAAATTCCGACCTTAAAGTGCTCGTCACACTAAGGTTTGGATCGTCAAAATTTCTGACCTTAAAGTGCTCGTCACACTAAGGTTTGAGTCTTCTAAATTCTAACCTTAAGGTGCTATTCAGACTAAGGTTTGGATCGTCAAAATTTCTGACCTTAAAGTGCTCGTCACACTAAGGTTTGAGTCTTCTAAATTCTAACCTTAAGGTGCTATTCAGACTAAGGTTTGGATCGTCAAAATTTCTGACCTTAAAGTGCTCGTCACACTAAGGTTTGAGTCTTCTAAATTCTAACCTTAAGGTGCTATTCAGACTAAGGTTTGGATCGTCAAAATTTCTGACCTTAAAGTGCTCGTCACACTAAGGTTTGGGTCTTCTAAATTCTAACCTTAAGGTGCTATTCAGACTAAGGTTTGGATCGTCTAAATGTCGATCTTAAAGTGCTCTTCACACCAAGGTCTTGATCGTCTAAATTCCGACCTTAAAGTGCTCTTCACACTAAGGTTTGGGTCTTCTAAATTCTAACCTTAAGGTGCTATTCACACCAAGGTTTAGATCGTTAAATATCCGACCTTAAAGTGCTATTCACACTAAGGTTTGGGTTGTATAAATTTCGACCTTAAGGTGCTTTTCGCACCAAGGTTTGGATCGTCAAAATTTCTGACCTTAAAGTGCTCTTCACACCAAGGTCTTGATCGTCTAAATTCCGATCTTAAAGTGCTTTTCACACCAAGGTTTGATCGTCTAAATTCCGACCTTAAAGTGCTCTTCACACTAAGGTTTGGGTTGTATAAATTCCGACCTTAAGGTGCTCTTCGCACCAAGGTTTGGATCGTCAAAATTTCTGACCTTAAAGTGCTCTTCACACCAAGGTCTTGATCGTCTAAATTCCGACCTTAAAGTGCTCTTCACACCAAGGTCTGGATCGTCTAAATTCCGACCTTAAAGTGCTCTTCACACCAAGGTCTGGATCGTCTAAATTCCGACCTTAAAGTGCTCTTCACACCAAGGTCTTGATCGTCTAAATTCCGACCTTAAAGTGCTCTTCACACCAAGGTCTTGATCGTCTAAATTCCGACCTTAAAGTGCTCTTCACACCAAGGTCTTGATCGTCTAAATTCCGACCTTAAAGTGCTCTTCACACCAAGGTCTTGATCGTCAAAATTCCGACCTTAAAGTGCTCTTCACACCAAGGTCTTGATCGTCTAAATTCCGACCTTAAAGTGCTCTTCACACCAAGGTCTTGATCGTCTAAATTCCGACCTTAAAGTGCTCTTCACACTAAGGTTTGGGTCTTCTAAATTCTAACCTTAAGGTGCTCTTCACACCAAGGTCTTGATCGTCTAAATTCCGACCTTAAAGTGCTCTTCGCACCGAGGTTTGGATCGTCAAAATGCCGACCTTAAAGTGCTCTTCACACCAAGGTTTGGGTCTTCTAAATTCCGACCTTAAAGTGCTCGTCACACCAAGGTTCGGATCGTCAAAATGCCGACCTTAAAGTGCTCTTCACACCAAGGTTCAGAGTATAATTTTAATTTACTCTTTAAATTTGGCAATCTCAACCAATCAAAGTCATCTATGAGATGATTGAACTTGTGTATAAAAAACAAGAAAATCAAAGCTAGAAGACGAGCCTACAATCGAAATTTAATCGAATTGACATAACGAAGTAGTTGACGAAACAATTCATCACAGCTAAAAATTCATCGAAAACAATCGGCGAATCGGAGATTTGGGACATGAACATGAAATAGAAGCAGATATAGAGAGACATAAATGAGAAGAATTAAGGGCAAAATACTACCCTATAATCGGATCCTCCCATGCACGTGAAAGTGCTGGTTGCATCATCCATAGGGTAACTGTAGGCATTTGGGCACTCTTCCTTGAAAAACCTTGAATAATCAGTGGGACCGCATCCAACAACACCGGAGGTACAACAATACTGAGTCGTATTGAAAACCGTGCACGGGTTGTTGCAACCGCCGGGAACATGCAGCTGAGTCGGACACTCTCCCAGGATGTCGGCGGCGCATTTGACGGAGCTACAGTTGTAGGTGGGGCTCAGCTGCACGGGAATGTTGAAACCGTCCACGAGGGAGATGTCGTAGAAGTCGAGGTTGTTGTACTGGTTCAACGCGAATTCCACCAGCGTGTTCGGGGGTGTACCCGTTTTGTTGCACACAAGCACACCGTCGCAATCACCGGTTAGACACTTGTCGTGTCCCGTGCTGTTGAAGGTGCAGTTTGTTCGGCCCCAAATGCGTCCTCCCGTCGTTCCGTTCGCCACGCTGAGGCTCCATGATTCGTTAGGGTTCAGCCTTACGCCGTCGCCGGGCAAGGCGGCTGCCCACACCGTGTAGTTGCATCTGTTTGTGATGTTGAAGTTCGCCGCTTGCCTGCTGGCGACGCAGGTTACGGCGATGAGGAGGAAGATGGAGAGGCTTTTCGTGGCGGCCATTGTGAATTCGTTTGTTTCACAGTGGCTAGGGAGCGGGAGTTGGAGGCGGAGGAGCAGCGGAAGCATCGATGGGAATAACGAGCGTCCAATCGGGAGGAAGAGGAGGCAGAGGATCGTACACCGTAGGTTTCCGATTTATATCCCACGGCTGCGTCTTCCGTGGCCGCGTCTTCCTGTGATGCGCCGTCGCTTTCTTCTGAGGCCGAGACGAACACACTATCGTCAATCCTCCACCGCTTCTCTTCCCAATCCCCAATGCTTGCGGCAGAGCCCTCACCACCCCGCACCCGAACATGTTCATCACCGACGACATTTTCCTTCTCTGCTTCGCGTTTCTTCGTTCTCCCGTTGCAAGGTTTCTATTGCGGCCGAGATTTCTTCTAGAGTGTGGCCGCCGGCGGCGGGAATGGGATTTTCAATTCCGCCGGCGCCCCCAGTTATGGCACCATTTATGTCGTCGTTACTAGCTCCTATCGCATTGCTTCTCAGAATCCTCGTCATTGCGACCTTCTGCTCACGTCAAACAACAAAGGTGTGGGATGCAGTTTTACCTGCCCCACGGTGGGCGCCAAAATGTTCCAAAGTAGGTCAACAAAATGCCTACGTGACATGCTCTTCACACCTTAGTGCTCGAGCATGGAGAGCTATATACCATGATGGTCTCCCACAGATCGACCAAAGTAAGTCGGCAAAATGTTGATCCAACATGCTCTTTGCACCTTAGTGCTCGAGCATGGAGGGCTATGTACCATGGTGGTCTCCCACAGACCGACCTAAGCAGGTCGGCAAAATGTTGATCCAACATGCTCTTCGCACCTTAGTGCTCGAGCATGGAGGGCTATGTACCATGGTGGTCTCCCACAGACCGACCAAAGCAGGTCAGCAAAATGTTGATCCAACATGCTCTTCGCACCTTAGTGCTCGAGCATGGAGGGCTATGTACCATGGTGGTCTCACACCGACCAAAGCAGGTCGGCAAAATGTTGATCCAACATGCTCTTTGCACCTTAGTGCTCGGGCATGGAAGGCTCTTAACCTTGTGGTCGTGGGTTCAGGCCCCACGGTGGGTGCCAAAATGTTCCGGTATTGGAGACCGCCGCCGAAGAACCCTTAGCGATACCATTATATATAGCAATGATTAGGTCTAAGAAAGTAGGTTACACTTATCAAATGTTCTAGGTCAAGATTGCTGTCAAGTTCTTTTAGCTCGGTATCGCTAAGGGTTCTTCGGCGGTGATCTCCAATACCGGAACAGTAACTGATACTCTCTGCTTGGCTTATGTCAGATTATATTCTTGTGTTTAGTTACAGCTTGTGTGTATTTATTCTGGGTTAGTTCCTCTCTCTGTTAACTGTTTATATTATAGACAGTTATTCCAGCCATTGTTAGTTGGTAGTTTGGTAAGTATATTACTCTTTGGTAAGATTCAGTTTAATTAGGTTTACTGTAACTGAAAACAGTTTCTTTTAACTTTATCTAACTTTTGTCACTGCTTCTTGCTTATTTCATACTCTTGATTTACAATATTTGCTAGCTGTCAAATATGGCTAAAATATTATATATCTGACACTTGCTCTAGGTGGAAATCATTAGATTGATTCTAATGAGATCTCAGTGGTTCATTTGATTTCAAATCCATGGGTCTGGATGATTGGAACCATACTTTCTTTAATTTAGGAGCATACGTTACTTTGTTGTTCTTTTGCATCATTGTTTAATCTAATTTGCGAGCTATGTTTGTGGTTTCTCAAGGGACTGAGATATGAGGGATTTTCTTTGATCAGGATTGGTTGGGAATAGAGGAGTCTGTTTTCTTGTGAGTGTATGCTGTTGTAGGTTTAACAAGCGAGGATTGAGTCTTGGCATTTTGGCTTTTTTGCATAAACATTGCCGTGGCTAGTGAATGAAAACTGCTTTTGCTTTGTGGCCACTGTTCTAATTCCTCAGCATTTGAATGCTTTTAGTGAGAGTAGCTGCTTCTTGCAATTGGGTTTATTGTGATATTTTCAAAATTATTTGTTGCTGATATCAAACATGTGCATTTACAGTATTTTGTATTATATGCAATTTTCCTTTGTCAAATTTTTTTGTTGGCATATAGGTATATGATGATACAACGGAAGGCAGAAAAGTCTGCACTTATTACAGACTGGATTCAATTCCTGTTGTGCTTATTATTGATCCCATTACTGGCCAAAAGATGCGCTCTTGGATTGGAATGGTTCAACCTGAAAGCTTATTGGAAGTATGCGTTCATCATTTTAACTTACTATAATGGAAACTTTTTATTGGGAGTTTGAAACATCATTCATAAGTAAATCCTGAACTTGATTGTTTTTAATACTTACTGATTTAAAGAGTCTTTTACTTTAGGGTCTACTAGCATTCCTTGATGCAGGGCCTAAGGATCATCATATTACCTTGTCACACAAGCGTCCTAGAGGAAGTTCTAGCCCCCCAAAATCTAAAGGTTTGTCGCTAGTCCCTATCTATATTCCAGGAGTTTGTTCAGACATGATGTTTATGTAGTCTTTATTGATATATTTACTTTTTTACTTATTTTTACTGATCAACACTCCATATATTTTATATATTCCTCATCTCTTACAATTTGGATGAACCTTTCCCACCGCCCTTAGTCTTTTTTTTAAATCCTTCTTTTACTTGCCAACAATTCTATATCCATCATTTCCAATTATAAAATTATCTGTTATATTTTGTCAACATCATGATCTTTTTTTGATGTCACAGCGTTGGTAGATTCAGATGAGAGTAAAGAGGAGGATGAGGAAGTTCAAAGAGCTTTGGCAGCTTCTATGGAAAGCATGAAAGAATCAACTGCTATGGCTGGAAGAGATAATAAAGATGCTGACGTTGCAGTCAATGGGCAAGAAACAGCCTTGGCTAAGAGGCCCACCTATCCAGCCTTGCCTGAAGAACCCAAGGCTGAAAGAAATCTCCTATGCAGAGTTGGTGTCCGTCTTCCAGATGGACGTCGGGTTCAGCGTAACTTCTTACGCACTGATCCAATTCAGGTAACTGATGTTGCTCTCATATATCTGTAGGATTCCATTCAACCCTACGTTCTCATAGGCCTTATGGATGGTCTTGTGCCAATTTTGGTATGATTTCTGTATGCTGTACCTTCTTAACCCCCTTTAAAGAACAGCTGGATATGACTATATCTGCATGTCTTGTTCACGCAACATTATTTTGAAATGGTGATTGTTGTGGATGTGTGATATCGGGTCTATGGCAAAGTGACAATATTTTAATTATTCAACTTATCATGCACACCCTTCTTGCTTAAGTATGACTAACTATGTGCTACAGTACTATTGAATTGTTGCATTTTATTTGATGACTGATAGATTACTAGAGTTAATTATTATAGTATAATAATTATCTTTCCTGTTTCAAGTTGCCAAGTTATTTTCTTGTTAATTTGGAGAAGTGTTATTGACAAAATTAGCAAATTTCTTATACCACCCTGCGTGATCATTTCACTGTTCAAAACAATTATTAGTGGGTGTTGTGTGGAAATTAGTATACACACTAGGACTTTACTTTTTGGGATGTAAGTTGATTGTCTTTGTTATGAGTTTATTTGTTTGGTTTTGATTTTCTTTGTTTTTCTTGTAGCTGCTGTGGTCTTTCATTTCTGTTCAACTAGGGGAAGATGAAACAAAGGCATTTAGACTAACACACGCAATTCCTGGAGCTTCAAAAAATTTGGACTATGAAAGTAATTCATCATTCGAGGAATCAGGCCTTGCCAACTCTATGATTTCGGTGACTTGGGACTGAGTTCAGGTTCATTACTGGGTTAAATTTGCAGACTGGAGGAGAACTTTGGGATTGGTGATTCCCATCTATATGACCCGTTTTTCATCTTTTTATGAGGTTGTTGATGTTCAAAGTAAAGGTTATTATAACTTGTGTATAGACTACAAATCCGAATGATGGGTTAAACGAAGTTATTGGAAATATATTTGTTTTTAGGACTGTCATCTCCCGTATTGTTTAGTAAAATGTTATGGGGTTAGTAAAAGTAATAACTTCGTTGTTTTTAAATTTTATACATTAAAAATGGAAAACACACATTTCGATACTTTAAATGGATATTCAAACACATATATATATATATATGGAGACCGCCGCCGA